CCCCAAAACCCCAAAACCCCAAAACCCCATTAGTTAAAATAAGGATAATCAACCTATTTCAATTAAAAATAAATAAACTTTTCTATAAAATATCAATAATCATTATCTTTATCTCCTTTCTTTTTTCTTAATATTTATTATTACTTTCTTTTTATAAATGCTTTATCTTATCACGGTAGGATAGTCCTTATCAAATCCTTGCTTTACATACCAGTTTTTAAGATCTAGCTCAATAAACCCTTGGTTGGCACTAACTGAATTAAGGTTGTCTTAGCTTGTGGTATTCAATTAATTACTACTAATAGTATTGCCCTAGATGTCACCTGTCTATTCCTCATCCGTGAAATTTTTGCAGTAAAGATAGAGACTTATGTTTTTCCTGGGCTACTCCTGATTAGCATTATCCTCAGCAAGTTGAATTCTCAATATTTCTATACTAGTATTTGTATAATCCGCATTATCCATTGACCTTCTAAAAGCTGCATTTTCCATTGATTTAGGCACCCACATTACTTAACTAAAGTTCTCAAGATCATTCCCAAAAACAACTCTTGATATAGTAACACCAAGTGGAGTGTTCTCAGTGCACTCTACTGTTGAGGGATCTGTGGATTCTCCATCGATCTCAATTAATTCATGGAGATTCATAAATGAAAACTAGTAAGGTAAGTTAAGACTTATTGGAGCAGGCCTTGTTTTATCTATTTATTCTAGCTTATTATCAAATCTTACTTAGAGCAAAAAATTTGAGGAGAGAAAGTGGATCAGTTGATGGAGATGTAGTTGTTTAGGATTCATCAACTGAAGCAAGAGATCTTCCATTATATAATTTTTCTTTTTAATAATGAATATCTTTCTAGTTTTATCTAATGTTTGGAGTATGAATTCCTTATACTTGTGACAAATTATTCTACAATTCTGAAGTATTAAATATGATAATCTTATATTTACATTATTTCTCTAAGCCTTCTGTTATCTATTGAGTATTCAATGAACCAACTAATAGGCCTAAAAGAATATAAATTTGAATTTTCATTTTATTTTATAAGATTATTTTAATGATCTAATATAGTTAAAAGGTACTTTAATATTAAACTTGAAATAAATATAATGAAATTAATAAGTTAGATTTTAAGATCAAGATTTTAACTATGAAAAATTAGCATTCAAATTTTCCCTTTTTGCAGAGCATCTTTAATATGTTTTTCAAATTTAGCCTTTTGAGTCTTTTCTAGTTTTATCATAAGTTCATGTACTTTTAAAATTTCTGGAATTTACATAAGACTATCCTAATAATTTTTAATCTTAGGAAAATCATTAAGAATATCTTCTGGAACTAATTTCAATTGAGTTAAATGACAGACACAGCTGAGATCAGCTATAGATATTTGATTACCGACTAAGTACTACTGCTTTTCATCCTTAAGCCAATAACTATCTATAAGCTTTAAAGATTTCTTGAGATCTATAAGATTGCTATCTGAAAGTTTGACTTCTGCAGTTGGGGCAGCTAGTCTTTGAATCAAATATTTCAAGCTAGTTTCTCTCAAACCACTATGTTGCCAGTCTAAGTACTCATCAATCTTAGCTCTTCTCTGAAAATCACTGTCTGGATACCAGTGATCAGGAGTACTTCTAGTAGTTTTAAGATATCTTAAAATTGCATGACTTTCGAATAATGCTACCTCACCATCTGTTATTGCTGGTACTTTCCCTTAAGGAGATATCTTAAAGTAATCAGAATTTTGGTGCTCTTTGGTCATTATTCTAAATATCTTCTCTTCGCATGGAATCTTATTCATCAAGATAAAGGCCATCACTGCTCTGAATGGTTAGCTAAGGTAATCTCCATAGACAATCAACTTTTTCAAATCTGAAGTTGCTTTCATTTTCAAATATTTTATTTAAGATTTATACTTAATAAATTTTGCGAATTACCTTAGGGGTTTTGGGGTTTTGGGGTTTTGGGG